AAATAATTAGGGTTTTTTGAAAAATGCTCACATATCATATCGATATTAACCTAGTGTGACATGGAAAACAAATGTTTAATGACTTATTGAGAAACGTCAAAGTCTGATTTACGTTGTTTGATGCTTGTGAATCTAAATCCAGTTAAAATGGATATTAATAACGTAAATAATGTTTATACAAATGAAGAAATCCTTAATTTATGTTTTATGCACGGAAAGTGCAACAAAGTTCTTAGTAGAACTTACAGAATGTTTAATGAAAACTATCCACATTTACCTCTGATGACATAAGGTAAATTTAGAAGAATAGAAGCATTATTTTGCATTCTGGACGAATTAATCACGTGTTAAACTGACCAAAAAATGTAGTAGATAATGCAGCGGAAAAGGTGAATACCATGGCTTATTTCGAGCCCAGTCCCAACGCCTCAATTCGAGCTGCCAAAGAAGATCAGGGACTCATACTACGAACTTTGTCGCGCTTTTCATGTATAAAAAATAAATTAAGAATTTCTTGATTTGTGTAAATATTATTTTCGTTACTGTTATCGATTTTAACTCTTTTTAATACTAATATTAAGGGACCTAACAGATAATTATTAGCTCACATTCATCAAGTGACGTAAACAAGTGAGTCTTTGACAAGAACTCATTGAGCAGGCTTGTTTTCCATGGCACACTAGGCTAAATATCCATATGATATGTGTGCATTTTTCAAAAAACCCTAATTATCTCCCAAACTATTAATGTTAGGTATGGAACACATAGGATATAAAAGATGTAGAATGAGACACCGAAGACGACTAGGTAATAAAATATGGGGGGTGCCATTTAAAAAAATGAAGTTATGGTACTTCCAAATTTCGAAAAGTTAACGTGCCATAGTAAAGTGACCAAACGTTCTAGACAGCCGTTCGCGGCACCAAAACATACTCCATCATGTTGCTTAAGCATGTTCTGAATCCTAAATTGATATCCCAAAAATCGAGTGTTCTCTGAGTTTTTGAACAAATGTCTGCCGGAGCAGGTTTTTCTAGAAAAATTCGAATAACTCGAGAACGGCCGATTCAAATTGAAAAAACTAAAGTTATTTATAAACCTTGAGAACATACAAATCGAAATATGTAAAAATATACAGGTGTTCCATTTAAAAAAATAAAGTAGGTGGCGACTTCCGGTATAACCGGAAGTGCTAGAAACATGAAAATATTTTAGTCGAATAGAACGCAATTGATAATACTTAAGTATGAATTCTCAAATTTTTATGTTGGCCAGAACCCGAGAAACGTCTAATGACCGGTCTCGCTGAGACACCCTGTATATATATATATTATAAATGTGTTGTTTTGTGTGTGTAAGGTTGTTTTTACACAATTTAAATAATTTAACTATAAATTTGGGTTTCTTTAAATTTGTGAGACTCTCGTTAAACTCAGGGTTTCGGGCAAGTTCAGGTTCAAAAGAAAAGTAATCAGGTTCGACAAAAAATTCATTTAATTAAACACAAAATAAAATTAACTCGTTTCATGAGTAACAAAAAAAAATAAAATTGTTTTCCTAAATTTACTTTAATAACAATGCTTATTTACGAGATAACTTTTAAATAAAATAGATAACTGCGGTTATCGACTGAAATATCGATATTAGAGAGAACCCGTTTATTATTTGAGAGAGAGAGAGTAGGATAAAACTCGTTAGAACCGTTCTTTGAAAATAACAAAT